ATGCAAGCGGCCAAAGCAGGGCCTGCCAGGCCTCCCTTGACCTCAGTGAACTTTACACGCGTGGGGATTCGGATTGGATACAGGCGCCCCGCTCATCTCGACAGCGTTAGTAAAACGCCTGCCTGTGTTCCTTGCACATCAGCTGCTGCCAAGCTCTCATGTTGCTGTTGTGTGGCCAAAAGTATGCTCGCCAGTGAAATGTGTGTGTCTGTGTTTGAGCACAGGCAAGGGTCCTTCAAACAAACCGGTGGGGCAGCGGGGGAACGTGCGGTTGCCCTAAGCCTTGCGCCCGTCCTCGGGCTTACTGGGTGCCAGCGCCCGGTCTACTCTATTCTACTCTACCTACTCCACATTATTGATCTGTGTGACACACATCGTTTGTGCATTCATTGTATTTGCAGGTTGTGACACTTTGATTCACAATTTGCTTGCCCTGCTCAAGCACTCTGACACCATTGCACGCAACAGACACAGCTGCATATGCCACAGATGTTTGCTATGTAGTTCTGCTACACCAGCCATTTCCATGTGGCGCCGCCCGCATCGCGGCGGGTGGCCCGCTAGTTTGATAAATTGTGCCTGAAGTGCAAGCTGATTGCGCTCATCAACTTAACACCGCCAAAGCACACGACTTCCGGCCAGCTTCCAAGTCACCTTTGGCTCGAGAGTGTTCAGTGCAGCACCTCCCTTTGGAACGCCCCAACTCGCACTTTTGGACAGTCCTCTGCTCATTCAAAAACGCTTTTCAGGCAGAGGCTCAGCCCCTCCAGGCCGTCAAAAACACAGCACACTCACCACTAAACAAAACCGCCCCCCATTTCGCCCCTCCAACCCAGCCTTCGAGTACTCTGCGCGCCACGGCCTGGAGTGGTGGGAGGTTGACGTCACATGGGGCCTCATCTGGGCGCTGTCGAAGCTGGGGCTGGCGAAGAATGTCAAACTTCCCACTGAGAAGCAGCTGGCCGCAAAGCGGCTGCCAAAGAGGCCCGCGCCGGCCGGCCCGGCGGCGTGAGCAGCTGCCGATTGCATGATTGCAAACGAACACGACATGCGACTGCTTCCCTGATGACAGCATGCAAATCTGCGCATGGCAAGCCGACACAGATGTGCATGCAGGCTCCGGAGGTGGTAGACGGGACGGATGCTACTCATGGAGCCGTAGCTGGGATGTTTGGGTGCTTGAGTCGACTACAAGTTGAAGATTGGGATCTCTATGTGATTGCTGTGCCTTTCGCAGGCATGACGAGCCGCTCCTGCTGATGCAAGAGCGCCCATACGTGCTGCATGTGTCAATGAGCACACTTGTGTTGCTGATCCCCTGCCAGCGCTTGCCGAAACGCTGAGAGTCTGCTGCATATGTACCATTGTCTTGCTCGAACCAGTGACAGCTGGACAGCAAACGCGTGTGGGTGTGTGTGAAGCGGCGGGTGTGAGCAACGCTCACGCCATCTTCTGCACAAGGCGCCCGCACCTGCACCTGCTGATTGCATGCACTGCAAATTCGTGCCTTTAATGTAATGTGATCTTGCTTGCCGCGTGGTTTCGCCCGTCAGCCAGCCAACAGGCCGGCCGACGCCTGCCTGGTGATCTTGATGTTGTGCAGCTGTCGTCCAAAACCTCCCAACAAAGGGTATGGCACGCCTGTCATGCACAGTGTAATTGCTGGTCAAAACCCAATTCATCACTTCACAATTTGCGTATCAGACTGCGGCCTCTGTTCAGTCGCACTCCCTGGTTGCCGCTGCCAACGGCATGCTCATGTGGGGGCGGTGCATGAGTCAGGAGTGCATATGTCACTGCTGCATGTTTAGGCGGGCCTGATCGGCGGGTAGTTGCGCCAACGAACGAGCAAGGCTTTATCATCAAGGGGAGCAAAGCCCACTTGAAGTGTCACTTTACACGCAACAAGCAAGATGCGCCAAGCACTCCTTCGAGATGCGAGGTTTGCTGGAGTACGGCAGAACACGCACAGAATGATCATGCCGGATCACGCATGCCGGCCGGTATCCAATGACGCCAGCTGACATCCACGCCGCCGACTGCACCGCACTGGGCCCGCCCCAGCCCCCGCAGCGCGTCCTGTGCGCAGGGGCCCTCCGAGGCTGAGGGCTAGCGTCTTGGACTGCGGCGGCTCGGTTGGCTGCCCTCCATTCCGCACGTGCAGAGCGCCTGCGACAGGGCTGCAATCTGTCTAATCAGCGGCCCAGCAACCAGCCCCTTACCTGGCAGACCCACCTGAAGTGATGCGCCACCCGTCACAGCACGGCCGGAACCGTTGGTAGCTAAGGACTGCTGCTGGCTGCTCGTCCTACTGGCTAACCAATGCGTACATCAAATGCATTGTAGATGTAACGCCAGACAGCCGCAGCTCCCGGTGGCGCGAGACGATGCAGACCGTGCACTGCGCATGCATACAAGCAGGCGCCGCCGCGCCGAGGTCGCCGACGCACGCAGCAACCCATGCATGCACGCATGCACCCCACGCATGCACCCCACGACGCCCCTGGATCAGGCCCCTCAGACACCCCCACAGCAGAGCCCGCGGGGCGCGCCCAAACCTCCGCTCGCCTCAAGAGACATCGCACTGTGTCGGCGTGCCTCAGGAAAGCTGATTGCCTGGGATACTCGACAAGAAGCGCCGTCAGCCGGGGCGGCCGCGGCGCCGGCAGCTCATGCAGCGCCGCGGCGGCCGCCCCGCGCTGGAGCAGAGTGCGGGCGCTGTCACGGGAGGAAGGCGGGCTGGAGTTGTCATCACAAGCTTCTGCTGTAGGATTCAGGCTGTAGATTAGAAGAAAATCACGCTCAAGGTCGGACACACTTGTGGCGGGCCTGCTGCGAGGCCGCCAGGATGCAGCTGCTCGGCTGTGTAGCTTCCGCCAGGCGTATGGGCCGGGGCGGTGTAACGGGACGCGACATTCAAGAGGTGCGTGTAGGCCTGGGCGATCAAAGATTTGCAAGGTGCCGGTGGCGGCCGCCGGGCGCTTGGCTTGCACGCGCCGCGCCGGGGGGTGCCATCAAAGCGGCGCGCGGCCGGGCGGGAGCCGCGCCAGGGGCGGCGCCCTGGCGGGGGCTCCGAGCCCGGGCCACGCGCGGCATACTGCGTGGGCGCGCGTGTGCGCGGCCGCGCCCGGCCACACCCATAAGGTGCTGCCGGGTGCCCGCCTCGCCGCCCGGCTTGCGGCGGGCGGCGACAGGGAATGCAGCATCAATTTCAAGGGATCAAGAGGCGGGGGCTGCCGATCGTCTGCCGGGCCGCCCGCCCCGCGCGGCCCGCATGCCGGCGGCGGCCGCATCATGCGGCGGCGCCGCTCCCGGGACTTTTGCCCGCGGGGCCGTGCGGCCCGCCTCCGCGGCTGATGTGTGTCGCGGGCGCCAGCAATTGCCCGCTGCGCAGGTGCGGGACGTGAGGGGATCACAAACAAGGTTGGGTGGCGCGTCGCAGGTGAGTGCGATGCGCCGCCCCCCGGTGGGGGCGTCCGCGCATGGCCACATGCGGCGGAGCCGTTCCGGCCGCTCAGGGGTGCCAGCATCGAACGCACCGCCGCCGTCGGGCGGCGGGCGGGGCGGGCTAGTCCTGGGCGTGCGCTCCGGGGCGCCGCGCGATGGTGGGGCGCGCCCGGTAAGCGCCTCCGCGCTACGCATGGGCTCGGGCCCGCCGGGACTCGGCAGGCTGGCGGTGTCCGAAGACAAACAACGCTCCCCGACGGAGCGCTGGGGGCAAGCATGATGCCTGCCTGCCAGCCCAGCCTTCGTTGGCGCGGCCTCCCCCTGCCAAGAGGGGAGGCTCGCGCCCCCGGGCTGCGCGGCGCCCGCGAAGCGCGTGGGAGGCTTGGGCCGGGCCCGCGCGCCGCCACAGCCCCCGCCCGCAGAAAGCGAGGGGCAGGGGCGGGCAGCCGCGGGGGCGCCCCCTCGTCGGCGGCCGGGCGCGGCATGGGGCGAGTGGGCGGGGCTCGGGGCGCGGGGCTACACCTGTGTGCTCAGGTTGTAGCGCCCGGCAGGGCGGCAATACCCCTGTGGCCCGCGGCGTGGCGGGCGCCAGGGCTCCCGGCGGCGGGCGGCGGGGATCTGCAGTGGGGTGGAGGGGATCGCAGGCGCAACCGCGCAGAGAGGGGAAATTGGATCATGGGAGCGGGAGCACGCCGCTAGCGCTTGCGCTGACACTGCACGCGGTTGACAGTCATCGCCGAGCCTGGGCGTCTCGCATAGCATCTTGAAAAAATTCCCTGGCTCTGATAAATAAATACGGCGTCGTTGCGCCCAGAGGAGGCCCAGACAGGATTCAAGTTGGGCACCGAGACGATCCGCTGCCGCACCTCGGGCACACATGAGTATGGCCTGTATGATTGTGGCACGTCGTGATCTTCTGTTCTGCGTTCGGGGGGTATCGTTAGGAGGGCGAGGCGGATCGGTATACGGCGCTGGTCTCGGATGGGATGCTGTTTGATGCCGGGACGGGTTCTGTTAGGATGCGCAACCACCGGGACGCACAGCTCTGCTGGGTAGAGTGCTTCGTTTCCAAGAAGAGTCTTGGCTGGGTCAGAGTCAGGTCACCTGTCACTTTGCCCAACAGACTGCTTGTGAGCAAGCAGACCCAACTTGCACACTTCGTGTGGTCGTATCAGTTTTCAACAACTTACCGGACTTGCTCTGCAGGCCTGCAGATCTGATCGGGTATCAGCAACCTTGAACGTCATGGCTCGGCCCTAGCACTTGCGGCTACAGGCATATAGCGATCAATCACAGCCCCCTCGGCGCTGTAACGCGTGAGCCGCCAGCATGTCGCGGGCGCTGCAAGTGGCACACACGTGGGGGCAGGCATTCGGCGACCTCGACCCCGCGCCAGTGGATGAGTTGGCGCTGCTGCTGCAGACGCGCGACGCGCCGGAGGACGCAGGTACGTAAGGACCGGGGGATCAGGCGGTTGGCGGGCGCGGTGCGCTGGGAGGTCCGACTGTTGTCTTGGAAATGGGGCAATGGGGCCGGCGCGGAGCCGCAATGCGCATGCAGAACCTTCGCAGGGCTGACGCCTCAAGCAGTGCCGCGCAGTTGCGGCCGCATGCAGCACGCATCTTTTGCCATGCTGCGTTTGGCATTGCGCTGCACGCCCGCCCGCTCCCAGGGGATCTGCTGCAGTGGATGCTGCCGCTGTTCGCCTGCCTTGAAAGCCCTGATGGGAAGGTGGGCAGGCTCAATGAGCGCACGACGCCTGAGGGCCGCGCCGCCACCTTGCAGCAGCGTGCGCCGCCACCCCGCCGCACGCCCGCGGCCGGCGGCGGCGCTGCCGTGCCCTCCGCGGCTCCGCCGCGACGCCAGCAGCCGCGGCGCCCCCTCATCCCTTGGCTTGAGCGCCACCTCGTGGCCACATCCGCTCGAGCACCCCACACCTGTGAAGGCCTCCCGCCCACACTCCCCCCACCGAATTGAATCGAACCCATCGGCCCCAGGCACGTGCAGAGGAACTTGTGCCGCGGCTGGCGGAGGCCCTGGGGCGGCTGCCCTCTGTCTGGTCGGCGCCGCATGAGAGCTACCTCCGAGTTCAGGCGGACGCGGCGCAGCTCATGGCCTCGGCGCAAAGGTGGGGGGCGCGCCGCGCACGGCTGCCATCTGGGGCGGGGGTCGGAAGCCGCAGCCGGGAAAAAGACATTGAGGCGGTCGGGCGTGGATAGGGTCGCGGGTGGGGCTCCCATGGTGCCCCTGCTCATTGCATGCGCGTGCGGCGGGGTGTTTGATGATCGAGCAGCGGTGCTGCTGTGGAGGGGCCGCGGCTGCTACAGGCCCGCTGCCTCCTGTCCCCCCTCCCGCAGGTTGATCTGCTTGCCGACCGGGCTGCCGCCGGTGCCGCGGGAGCAGCTCAGCCGCGCGCTGCGCGGCGCGGTCGGCGCGCTGCTCGCGCAGGCGCTGAGTCAGCAGGAGGCGCTGCGGCGCGGCGAGTCAGGCGCCGCGTGGGCCAGGAGCGGCTGCAACCTGCTCCTGCGGGCGCTCACACGAGAGGGCCCGTTCGCGTCGGGCGCGCCGCTGCCGCTGCTGCCTGAAGACGCCGCGGCGCTTCTGCAGGCGCTCCGGCCCGCTGCGGCAGCTGCGGATGGCGGCGGCCCCCTCGCCAACGGGGGCGGCCCCGCAGTGGCGAACGGCGGGTCGGGCCCGGCAGCTTCCGTGCGGCTGCCCGAGCTGCTGACAGACGACAAGATCTACATCCTTATATCCAACCTGGCGGCGACGGCGGCGGCGGTGCCGGCGCTCGCGGGCGGCGCGGCGCTGGTGCGGCTGCTGGTCTGGAGCAGCCGCGCGGTCAAGCAGGCACTGCGGCTGCTGGCGCCGCCGAGCGGTGCGCGTCGTTTTGCGCGTGTGCATCCGCGCGCGCGCGGCGGGCGTAGGCACACACCATCGCCATGGGAACGAGGCAGCTGCTGGTTTTGCTTGCTGGGCCCATGCCTGACCCTGCTGAGTCAGCGCCGTGGGGCTGCAGCGTTACAAATATATTAACGTCCTGCCTGCCGCTCGCTCGGACGCCAAACTGCCTTTGACCCCCCTCCCCCCTCCAGGGCACGAGGGCGCCCCCGCGCCCCCCTTGGAAGCTACCTGCGGCGCCGCTGACCTGGCGAATGTCTGCGCAGCCCTGCTGCTAGGCGCCAGCGGCGGGGGCGGCGGCGCGGGGGTGGTGACCGGGGAGGTGCCGGTGGAAGTTCTGCGGCAGGTGGAGGATCTGATTGATCTGGCGCTGTCATTAGGTGAGGGTTCAGCGTAGGCACCGGGGAATGGTCAAGGGGAGCCGGGCGAAGGTGGGCTGAATGGGGTGGCGTGCGGAATCTGGAGGGGGTTGAGGTCTGGGGAAGAGTTTCGCGTGAATGGTGAGGGGCGAATGGTAAGGGGGGTGGTGCAGCAGCGGTGGGTGGTTGAATGGTTGTGGGTCAGCAAGCAAGGGGGGCCAGGCGAGGGGGGGGTGGGGACGGAAAGGGGAGCTGTGCGAGGGAGCCATGCCCCTCTGACGCCTTCGGCGCCAACTTGGTCTACTCAACGTCCGGGCGTTCTGGCATGTGGCCTCATGCGCGCGTGCGCCCCCGCCGCGCAGCCGAGACCGCTGTGGCGGCCGCGGCGCAGGCCCCGGCAGACCCCAGCAGCGCGAGAGCGCTCTGCCTGGCAGCCCGCGTCCTCGCCGGCGGCGCCGCCCTCGTCGCCGCGCCCGCAAGCGGCGGCAGCAGGAGTGCTGATATCAGCGCTGATGTCATCTCGAGGCTGCACGACCTTCTGCTGGAAACAGCCCGCCTGACGGCGGCGCCGGACGCGCCGAGCGCCGGCGTTGGCAATGGGCACGCAGCGGCGGGGCCGGGGCCAGGGGCACCGGTGGGGGAGCTGCCGGGGGGGGTGGCAGCTGAGCTGGCGAGCCCTCTGAGCTGGGATGTGACGCGGCCGCTGACGCGGCTGTCGGATGGCACGCAGGTGGGTTATTCCTTTGTGTGGGGTGGGGGCATGAGAAATGTCGTCATATTGAGGGCGAGGAGGCGTGAGCTGCATGGTGACCCCCGGGGGGGCTGTTAGGGTGGCCCTTGAGGGGCACCCGCACCCCCCCGCGCGGGTAGAGGCAATCGCGAGAGGCGCATCGCCTAAACCACCGCGCCGCGTCGTCTGCATGGGACGCACGCCGACGGCTGTAGACGCCGGCGCGGGCGCCTCGCAGCCCCCGCCCCCTCCGGCTGCGGCTGCTCCCGCCCTTTCCACGGATTTCGCCCTTTCAAGGAAAGGCAAGGCACCCCGCCCTCCTCCAAGCCGCCGCTGCAGCCGGGCACTGCACCTGACACCCCCAATCCCCCGCATGCACCCCAACGCCCGCAGCTGCGCCACCTACCGCTGGCGGCCGGCATGGGGGCGCAGCGGCTGCTGCGCGCGGCGGCGGAGGCGCTGGTCGAGGCGCTGGCGGCGGCCTGGGGCGCGGGGGCGCGTTCGGGCGTCAACATACTGCTGCTGCCGCGCCCCAGCTCGGCGGCGGGGTGGCACGAGCAGATGGTGGGTCTTGGGGAAGCGTGGGAGTATGAATTCATTCAGCTGCGGGGCCGTCGCATGGCGACTTGGACCCAACTGGGCAGGCAAGGCGGCATCGATTAGCTCACCGCGCCGCGCCTGCGTTGTAGCCTGCAGCACAGCGAGGGGGAGGCTAGTGCTCTTGCCCCCGGTTTAACCGCGGAGGCCGGGACGCTGACACCTCCCTTCCCCTCCCGTCCCTTTCAAACCCCTGCCCTCCCACGCAGCTCCCCCGCCCCGTCCCTGTGCACTCTTGTCTGCACCCACATTCCATCCCACCCCATCCC